AGAGAATTTTAATATTTATTTTTTAGTTCTCGGTGGACACAACATCTTTTTTGGTATGTGGTGCTGAGGATCGAACCCGGGCCGCACGCATGCCAGGCGAGCGCGCTACCGCTTGAGCCACATCCCCAGCCCAAAAACAAGCTATTTTTAAGCAAGCTCTCCAGGTGACTTTCATGCACATTGAAGGTAACTACTGCTCTCCACACAATCATCAACTTAAGAGAAATACAGGACCATATTAAACTCCACAATGATTCAACTGTTAACATCCAAACTATGGGTATACTACAATCAACAACCCTAAGTTCCTTCAACAAAGAAACACTGGCAAGGGGGATAAAATTTATGGTTTAACTATCTTAATCTAGAGCAACCACCTGTGAAATCCAGTCTCTGTTCTACTCCTGATTAAGTAAATAAAATCATGCCATTCATAAAGTAACTATAAATGTGAACATCAACAAATAGTGTGTGATGACAGTTTTCAAAAACAAATCTTTGGGGCTGGGGCTTGGTCTCACCAGCAGCACACTTGCCTGGCATGTGTGAGGCACTGGGTTCAATTCTCAGCACCATATATGAATAAATAAGGTCTATCAACAACTAAAAAAATTTAAAAAAATAAAAAAAAACAAATCCTTGTCTTTTAGAAATACATACTGAATTGTTTGCAGAATATCAAATCTAGACTTTAAGCACAAAGCAAAATGGCTAAGAATAGCCATAGGTTAACATTAACAGGTCCATAGGGGTGTGTGACTCCATTTTGGAAAAAAGGTTCAAGATAATCCTTCACTTATTGTGGAAAATTTCTTTTAATATTTCAACAAATCTAATCAACTTATCAAAATTCACAAGTTTTAAAAATATTTGAGGGGGCTGGGATTGTGGCTCAGTGGTAGAGCATTCACCTAGCACGGGCGGGACCCGGGTTCAATCCTCAGCACCATATAAAAATAAAATGCAATGTGTTGTGTCAATCTACACCAAAAAATAAATATTAAAAAAAAAAAAAGAAACGAAACAAAACCCAGGCTTAAAAAAAAAAATTTGGGTGCAGTGGCACATGCCTTTAATCCCACGTACTTGTTACGAGTTCAACCTAGGTAACTTAGCAAGACTGTCTCAAAAAAATAAAAAGGGCTGGGATGTAGCTCAGTAGTAAAAATCCCCTGGATTCCATCTCCAGTACTGAAAATAAAATAAAAAATAAAAGAGGGCAAGGGATGCAGCTCAATGGTAGAGCACTTGCCCAACATGCCTTTTAGGCCATGGGTTCAATTCCCAGTACAGCCAAAACCAGAGAATCCATCTTTTTTTTTTTTAAATTAGGTATATATGACAGCAGAATGCATTTTGATTCATTGGACATCAGTTTTTAATTGACATTCATCCAGATCAATAATCAGCTTCAAAGAGGCAGTAAGTCACCCATGAAGCTTTCTGATAAAGTTCTGCTACATTCGATTTTTATCTTACCCCTTCCATGATTAGTTGAAGTAAAAATGATAATTTTCTCTTGATTACCTAACTTTAAAACACATCATGGAGCTGGGGATATAGCTCAGTTGGAAGAGTGCTTGCCTCAAATGCACAAGGCCCCGGGTTTAAACCGGAGCACCACCAAAAAAAACAAAAAAACCACACCATATAATCACTAAGCACTTTTATATTTTTCTGTTCCAAAGAGAAAGAGTTTTGAAGGTAAAGGCAGTAACATCCACATGTTCAGGGAGTTAATTTACCTGTAAAGATGTAATTGATCCTGTGTGTCCTTGGAGCACTGCAACAGGAGCACAGGTTCTCAAGCACCACACTCTGATGATTTTATCACAGCTCCCTGCAGCAATCATAGTGTTCTCATAATTCACTGCCATATCTGAAATTTCTGCAGAATGACCTCTTAATGTAGATAACAGGCGGCCATTATGTGTTGACCAAATCTTTACCAAACAATCATCTGAACCCTAAGAAAAATACACCAAACACATATATCAGTTCAGCAAATCTTCTGAATCATTTATTAGAGTACTTTTTATATACTGCACAAATCCAATATCTGACTCTTCCTCCCTTCCTTCCAATTGTAGAATACTTCGCCATGGTTCTTACAGTCAAAATACATAAGGAAATGTATTTTTCTTCGAAGGAAAAGCCTAAAGACACTGTGAACTTACCATTTCTATGAGTCAGATCACATTATAAATACTACTTACCCCAAAATTGTCTACCAACTAATACACCCAACTAGAAGTTCCTTCTCAACTGTATTGGTTAACAATAGCTAAGTATTAGATCAGCTCACCAAATTAAATTAGACAATAAATGTTAAGACAGATCTAGACTTCTTAGCCTGAACAAGACTAAGTGACAATTCCGCCACCACCACCCCCCAAAAAGTGGGAAAAGCATCCTTATTTCAAATAACCAAACAACAAAGTCTCAAATACACAATACCATCCAGCATCCATCATTCATCACACAATGATTATGTACTCTGAATCTCACACCTGCAATTAAATTAGCTTCTCACCCATTCTAATCTTCCCTTAAAAACATTAAAAATGTTAAATTCCAAATATTTCTGTACAGCTTTCCAATAACTACTTGAACACAGAAATGCTATCTATAATCAATCCATTTTCCAGAATTAACGATTAATCAATGTATGAATATTTCTAACAGCTTGAAGATTTGTTTCTGGATTTGGGGTTAATTTACATTTAGATTAAGTACAGAGTGACAATTCAATAAGTTCAAAATGAACTAAAGTATTAGATGTGTATTTGGTTTTTTTTTTTTTGGTACTAGAGATTGAACCAAGGGGCACTGAACCACATCCCCAGCCTGTTTGTTCTTTTGTTCACTTTTTTTTTTTAATTCAGAAACAGGATCTCACTAAATTGCTTACAGCCACGCCCGATAAATTGCTGAAACTGGCTTTGAACTTGCAATCCTTCTGCCTCAGCCTCCCAAGTAGCAGGGTTTACAGGCCACTATACCAGCCTACACAAGCATAAATTTCAACCATCCTTAATGATCATGCTTAAGAATCACTGCTCTAAGTCATTATCTCTCAAAACAGCACATAGGACTATTTGTCAATAAATCACTTGAGGTACTTATTTAAAATACAAATTCATGGGCCCCATACCAGACCTACTTGGTTGAAATCTCTGAAGATTGGAAATAAGAACCTACAAATTTTATAAAATTTCCTAAATGATGCTGAAGCACACTAAAGTGCTGCAGGCAGTACCCAATTTAGTAGAAAATGTTAACTCACTGTAAAGATTCTATGTCCTGTTCTATCAAATGCTACACAGTAAACAGCAGATAGATGTCCGAGAATCCTTCTGTGCATTTTTATATGCTGATACATAGTTCCTGGAAATGTTGTGCTAAAAGTGGAACACCCTGTGAGCTGTTTTCCTCGATGTATCTCCACTAGGAAAAAAAAACAATGAAAATGGTTAAGAGGAAAGCCAATATTTTTTGTGAAAAACTAAATAAATTTGTTTGAGAAATCCTAAGAACACAAATTTCTTTCCAATTCTGTTCTACCATAATCACTAATGCAGGCATTTGTTTTTTTTCCCCCCCAGTACCAAGGGTCGAACCCAAGGGCACTTAACCACTGAGCCACATCCCCAGCCCTTTTTTATATTTTATTTAGAGACAAGGTCTCTCGCCGAGTTGCTTAGGGCTAAATTGCTGAGGCTGACTTTGCACTTGGGATCCTCCTGCCTCAGCCTACCAAGCTGCTGGGATAACAGATGTGCACCACCTTGCCCAGCTCAGACTTCTTAATATAATGATTGTTTTCATTAATTTTATTAATTATTTTAAGAAAACAGTAGTTTGAAATTTGATATGTATCACTACTTAAAAAACAACCCTGCCTGTATTTCCTTTTTAAATTTGACATTTACAAATTTTATCAAGAAATTAAAAGAACTTTAGGCATCACCAAGGCCCACCTCACTTACCAAGATTTGGAGGAGAGCCATAGTTCACGGGCATTTCAGGAGGTCTTCCTCTATGAAGAGCAGCAAAGGCAGAGCCCTTCCACACTGTGTGCCTGCAGTCTTTAAAATGAATTTTAGATACACATAAAATCTTGAAAGTTAACCCCAAGAAAGATTTTATAGAATACTTACGTATATTGTAATAAACTGTTTATTCAAAGTTTTACCAACTATAATATACTTTAACAGAAAAGCCCTGGAGGTTTATTAGACTATTTCTGAAGGGGAAAAAAAAAAAAAAAAAAAAAAACTTAGGACATCTCAGATACAGCAGCAACAACAACTAACATTTGTGTAGCACTTTACAGTTCACAAAGTGCTTTCCACATACATTATCTCATTAAACCCTCACAACAACCCTGTGAGGTAGGTATTTTCGCCAATTTACAAGTGAGGTAACTGAGGCTCAAAGATTTCAGGACCTTTAAAGAGATCCACCGCAAACGATTAGTAACAATGGGCCATAAAACCAGATCTTTTTTCAAGTCCCATTTAATGCCAAATAAGTGTTAATTTTTCAATGTAGAATTATACTATACAATATTAAAGACCTTAATCACAACTGGTCCAACTTTTCAAAAATTGAAAATTGAGAAAAATTTTAATTTCTTTCACATATAAAAGTCCTTGACTTGTTTAGTCTTAAAATTAATTTGGCCAATACTGCCACGACTTTGGTCTCTTTAGGAAGTATTGACAAATTAAATAGCTTTCCCTTTATTTTAGGATCACAGATAATCCTTTACAGAAGGGCATATAAGTAGGATCGGTGAGTCTGMACATTAACTCAAAAAGCCCCATCCCTCCCTGACCTACAAGAAAAGAACTGAAGAAAAAGTGTCTTTCCTCCTAGGAGACARCAGCAGAACACAAGTCATGGGCAGTCTGCTRTGCTCAAGTTTAGCTACCTCACAACTCAAAGACAAGGGAGGGATGGCAGCATACTTAACCTCCATGAGCCTCGGGTGCCCCAAACTAACAGGCATATAGTTTTACATGAATGGATCCATTACCACTATCATGACCAAAGAGCAGTTACCAGGCATCCTCTCATGGCACCAGTACAAAACAATAGAGAAACAGGGCCCTACCCTATGCACTTGACCAAGTCTCTTCCAAGGTCTGCCAATTCTAAAACAGTGCTCATCACAGAACAACATTGAGCTTGACACAGAAAACAGAGGAAAACATGCTGCCCAAGTAACTACTAAGTAACAGCCTACAACAGAGTAATTACAAGTGAATAGGAACACAGAAAAGGAAGAATACCAACAGTTTCCTGATTAGAGCCAACATGTGGCATGGCTACAGAGCACTAGGAAACAGCTACCTGGACAAACCAGTCWGGCAGCRAACCAAGAGGGAGGCTGTTCTTCCTCAGTCAAGCTTTATCCTCATGGTGCCTCTAAAGAGGGAGCATCCCAGCGACTGCTCTTAGAGAGTCAAGGGAGGAGGCTCAGGATGGGAGGAACCAACCATCTTGCCCATTAGCAGTTTAGCCACATTATACATAGATAGTATCACATACATATACTTAAGTCTAAGTCATTTGTACCAAGCTAACAGAAAAATAGCAATTTCAAACATTTTACTAGCACATAATTTGCCAAAAAAATARTGTAAAAAAAAGAACCATGCAATTTTACATTTTTGGTGCTTGTTTTCAAACCGCTACCAACCTTAGAAAATCACTTCCCCTGGTAACAAAGGGCTCTCGGAATCTAAATAGCAAAGGAAATACTTCTAGCATTTTAAGAGTTTATTAGACACATACAATTACATTCAATAAGTTACGAGTGAGCTACAAAATGAAAAAATTAAGAACTCACATTGATAAAACCTCAAACACATCTCATAATAAATTCAAGCTTTTTAGCTTAACATCTGTATCTTGAGCAATTTTTTAAATGCAGAAAAACCCATTAAACACTTAGGTAATAGGATTCAATGTTCTATGCTAAATGCAGAGAATTTTATAGTCCACAGAATGATTTAGTTACATATCACCTTTCTTCCACAATACTTACATYACGTCACAATTATAATAATTATTAAGCTATTAATACAAAGCAGAACACTTCTTCAAATTAAGGTACCTTTTGCTGTACGTAGCAAAGACTGCCTTCCTGCACCAAGTAAAGAAGTGACTCTTGAAATACTGGGTGGAATTTCTTTATCCAACATAGGGCCGATGCGCTGGCAGATTTGCAACAGATGATCAGGAGCCACATGCTTATTGGACAAGACCTGGTTGGAAAGTTAAGTTTTAATAACACTAAATAATACCAAAAAAACAATAAATGTTTAGGGATAAATCTGACAACACATATGAAACACACTGAAAACTACAAAACATGCTGGGAGAAATAAAAGACAGCTGAAAACAATAAACGGAACTACCGATTCAAACCAATCCCAACCAAAATTCAAGCAAGAATTTTTTTTTTATAGAAATCAACAGTATTATTCTTAAATCTGTATGAAAATAACATAAAAAATCCAAAGCAGCTTTGAAAAAGAACAAAGTGGCAGTGTTAACAACATTGGCTTCCAAGGCTTGTTTTAAAACCACAGAAATCAAAACAGTCTGGTATTCTTGGTATATAGTTAAAGAGATCAATGGAACAAATTGTCAAAAACAAGACGTATGTATACTTAGACCACTGATTTTTGTGTTTTTTTTTTTTTAAACCAGGGATTGAACCCAGGGGCACTCAGCCACTGAGCCACATCCCCAGGCCTATTCTGTATTTTATTTAGAGACAGGAGGGTCTCACTAAGTTGCTGAGTGCTTTGCTAATTTGCTAATGGTCGACTTTGAACTTGCCATCCTCCTGCCTCAGCCTCCAAAGCTGCTGGGCTTACAGGCGTGTCACTGTGCCCAGCTAATGATTTCTAATGTGACACCTAAAAAGCACAAACCATAAATAACAAAAATGGTAAATCAGATTTCATCAAAACATCTTCCTTTCTTCAAAAGCAATGTTGATTGCTAAAGGCTGAAGGAAAATATTTGCAAAGCATGTATCTCACGATGGACCTATATCCAGAATAAAGAACTCAAAAAGAGTTCCCAATAATATTCAACTCAACAATACTCGACATTCCAAATTCAACAGTAACAACCCATTTTAAATAGAGTAAAAAGTTTGAACCGACATGTCACCAAAGAAGGTAATACAAATAGCAAATCAACATGTGAAGGTGACTGACATTATTTAGTAAAATACACAATAAGATTTTAAGGAGATACTACCACACACCTGTGAGGATGGCTAAAATGAAAAGGACTGACCAGCCCAAACATTGCAAGAATGTGGAGAAACTGCTGATGGAAATATAACACTACCACAAATTCTGAAAACAGTTTAACAGTTTCTTTAAAAATTACACATAAGGGGCTGGAGATGTGGCTCAAGCGGTAGCGCGCTCGCCTGGCATGCGTGCGGCCCGGGTTCGATCCTCACCACCACATACAAACAAAGATGTTGTGTCCGCCAATAACTAAAAAAAATAAATAAATATTTTTTAAAAAAATTACACATAAGGGCTGGGATGCAGCTCAGTGGCAAAACATCTGCCATGCATTCGCAAAGCCCTGGGTTCAACCCCCAGTTCCAAAAAAGACAAAAAAAAAAAAGAACCCCACCAAAAAAAAATAAGATTAAAAAAAAATTACACATAAGCTGAGCACAGGGACATACACCTGTAATCTCACCCACTCAGGAGATTGAGGCAAGAACACATTCAGTCTGAGGCCAATGCAGGTAACTTAAATTTAAATAAAAATAAAGACTGGGGATGTACCTCTGAGGTAAAATCCTCGTGTTCAATCCTCAGTATCCGCCCCCCAAAAAAAGTACACATACACCCCTGTCATATAATCCAGCTATTTCATTTCTAGACATTTTTTTTTTTTTAATACTCGGGATTGAGTCCAAGGGCACATTATCACTGAGATACATCCCCTGTCCTTTTTTATTTTGAAACAGGGTCTTGCTAAGCTGCTTAGAGTCCCACTAAATTTCTGAGTCTGGCCTTGAACTTGAGATCCTCCTGCCTCAGCCTCCAGGGTCACTAGTATTACAGGTATGTGATACTAAGCTAAGTTCCACTCCTAGGTATTTAAGCATGTGGAAAAAAAAAAAGACTCATAGACACATAAAGGTTTGCGTATTAATGTTAGCAGCTTTCTCTCCAATAGAAAAAAAGAATACAACAAAAATGTCCACTAACTGATGAATAAATTAATAATACACTGTGATGTATCTGCACAATAGAATACAATTAGGCAATAAAAAGAAGTGAACTGATAGTTCAAAAATTCATCTGTTGGGCTGGGGCTGTAGCTCACTGGCAAAGTGCTTGCCTCATATGTGTAAGGCACTGGGTTCAATTCTCAGCACCACATAAAAATAAATAAAGATATTGTGTGTTCCTCTACAACTAAATAAATATTTTTTAAAAAAAATTCATCTGTTGTGTTCTATCTTGAAAGCCAGGAAACAAATATATAACTGCATAATTTCACTTACATTAACCTCTAGAAAACACAAACTACATATAGTCACAGAGGACATATCAAAAAGCTGGATGACAAGGTAGTGCCAGTGTACAGGGAGGAATTTCCAAGGAGTGAAAGGAGATTTCTAGAAGTGAGAAATGCTCACCATCTTCACTACTGTGATGGGTTCATGGCTGTAACATACGCCAGTATTTATCAATTTGAACACTCTAAAATTTTAGTTCATGTGCATTTTATGTTAATTATACATAAGAAAAATAAACCACAAAAACAGTAAAGTATGTAATTTTAACTCATGTATGTACAATGTTACCTGATATGAATGTAACTGGCATAAAATTTAATGGTGCATCCCTAAGGGATCTCAATCATAACATCACCAGCATTCAGGGAATGACTAAGAGCTGGACCTTTAAAGAGATCCACCGCAAATGATTGGTAACAACAGGCCATAAAACCAGATCTTTTTTCAAGTCCTATTTAATGCCAAATAAGTGTTAATTTTTCAATGTAGAATTATACTATACAATATTAAAGATTAAAGACATTAATCACAACTGGTCCAACTTTTCAAAAATTGAAAATTGAGAAAACATCACTGTGCAGGACTAACCCACACATGCAGACCTACAGTGTCCTCAGCCCCCATCCACTAATGTCAGCAGCACTTCCAAAGCACTGCAACATCAACATGCTCCATGTTTCAAACTGAGAAATACTGCTCTAAAGAAAATCTCAAACATATAATTATAGATCTATACCATAGTTATAACCCTGTATTGAACTATTGGTAAAGATCATTTTTTAGGGCTGAGGATTTAGCTCAGTTGGTAGAGTGCTTGCCTTACATGCACAAGAGCCTGGGTTCAATACCCAGCACCACTAAAAAAAAAAAAAAAAAAAGCACTTTTGAGATCACTTTTGTCACTTTTTGTTCTTCATCATTAATCCAAATATAAAATAATCCTGGACTCAATATAAAAGTTTTTATTCATCAGCCCTGGTGACAACAAGAGCTTGATAAAATACCTTTGATTTCCCAATCGGACTCATGTTCTCCACCTCCTGGCAGATATACCAACACAAAAGTGAAAAGTATCAAAACCAGGTAGACCTCAGAAGTTTCTTAATAGTAATTAGCACTTTGTGCTTCAAATGTCAGTACCTAACCTCCCAAACACTGCTGCAAGTAATCAGCACAGCACACAGGAATAGGAGATGAGTGGAGCTAGAAAAGTAATTCCAACAGAATCAAGAAAAATCACAGGCATAAAAATCTGTCAGTCAAAGCCAGGCACAGTGGCAGTACACACCTATAATCTCAACAAGTTGGGACACTTAGGAAGATCCCAAGATCAAAGCCAGCCAGCCTCAGCAACTTAGCAAGGCCCTGAGCAACTTGGTGAGATCTGCTCTCAAAATTAAGAAATAAAATAAAAAGAGCTGGGGATGCGGCTCAGTGGTTACATGCCCCTGGATTCAAACCCCAGAACCAAAAAAAAAATTTTAAAGAGCAACTGATACATGATCTTCCTCTCTTTAAATCAAAAGTGCCACTAACACTCAGGAAAACAAGATTAAAACACTAGATTTCACTGTGCCTTTCCAATACAGTTATATCCTCCATTAAAAGTTTTGGGTTTTTTTCTTGCATTTCACCATGGGGAAAAAAATGATGCCCAGTCCCACCATAAAGACTGATTTAACTGGTTTGCAGCCCACTTTGGACATCTGGAACTTGCTCCCAGATAACTCTAACCAAAATTTCAGAACCATTGAGAAAATGGAATAACTTCAAGAAGAAACAATGACATACCCAGAATAAGACAAATATCTGTCTCTTCAGTAATAGCGTAGGAAAATGATGATTCACAATTTTATATAATCAATGCCATTTTTCCCCCCAGTACTGGGGATTGATCCCAAGGGCACTTAACCATTGAGCCACATCCCAAGCCCTTTGTATTTTTTTTTCATGACGATTTTTTTTTTTTTTGAGAGAAAGAGAGAGAGAAGAAAGAGAACTTTTTAATATTTATTTTCCAGTTTTCGGCGGACACAACATCTTTGTATGTGGTGCTGAGGATCGAACCTGGGCTGCATGCAGGCCAGGCCAGCGCGCTACTGCTTGAGCCACATCCCCAGCCCCCCTTTGTATTTTTTTGAGATGAGGTCTTCCTAAATTGTTTAGGGCCTTGCTGAACTTCTAAAGTTTGCCTTGAACTTGTGATCCTTCCGTTTCAGGCTCCAGAGACACTGAGACTTCAGGAGTGCCTCACACCTGGCATGGACCTGAATTTGAACTAAACATAAAGACACTCAGAGAAGCCAGATGTGGTGGAGCACACTTATAATCCCAGCAATTCAGGAGGCTGGGAGGCCCTAAGAAACTTAGGGATACCCTGTCTGAAATAAAAAGGGCTGGGGATGTGGCTCAATAGTTAAGTGCCCCTGGGTTCCATCCACAGTTCAAAAAAGAAAGGATCCTTTTTTCATTGTGGTCCTAGAGATCCAATCCAGTGTCTTGTACTGTGCATGCTAAGTACATGCTGTACCACTGAATAGGCCTTTATAGAGATGCAGTCCAAACAATTTGCTTTAAAATACTCCAGCATATTAACCAATGAAATAAATGGCTATCTGAAGCCAGGCGCAGTGGCACATGCCTGTTAATTCCACCTACCCAGAAAGCTTAGGCAGAAGGATTGAAAGTTTGAAGCTAGCCTGAGCTAGCAAGACCCTGGGTCAAAATTAAAATGTTTAAAGGGCTGGGGATGTAACTCAGTAACAGAATGCTTGCCTATCATGCTAAGGACCTGGGTTCAGTCCCCAGTACTGCAAAAAAATAAACAAGAAAAAAAATGAATGGCTATCTGGAATCTGCTTAAAAACAATACAGTGAGGCAGAGATTAGCAGATGCAACATTTTTTGATTAATCACTAAGGCTGGATAAAAGGTACCTGGTGGTGGGTTTCTTATTTGCTTATTTATTTTGTTACTAACGACTGAACCTCAGGTGCGTCTTACCACCTAGTAACATCCCTACCTTTTTTAAGAAGTTTGCCCAGGCTGGCCTCAAACTTTCAATCCTCCAACCTCAGTCTCCTAAGTTACTGAAACTACAGGAATGTGCCACCATAGCCCACTATTCTATTTTTTTGTATTTAATTATCACTTTATATTAAAAGTGACTGTAGAAACCAAAGTAAACAGCAAATTGGCAACAAATTCAAATCTGTTAATGGTATATAGGGGATCATTACATTCTCATTTAGGTACATTTGAATTACTTAGTGTCATATCAACAATGCTTTTCTGCTTCACGGATAAAGCCATTTTACAAATCCCAACCCCCCAAAACATATATGTATAAAACATACATTTAATACTTACTGTTCATACATGCATATAACAAATCCCCTAGCTAATTCTTTTACATTTTTTTATTTTTTATTATTTATTTTTAGTTGTAGTGGCACACAATACTTTTATTTATTTTTATGTGTTGCTGAGGATGGAACTCAGTGCCCTGCGCGTGCTACAGGAGGGCTCTACCGCTGAGCCACAACCCCAGTCCCCCCTTTTACTTTTAATACAAGAATGTTAAGATTTTACCACCTTCTGCTTAGAACCGTGATAGAAATTGAGACGTTTCTTTTTCCCCCATTATTTTCCTTACTCATGATACTGAACATGGCCTGGTAACCAAAAACATGTTTTACCCCAATATACAAATTTCCAAAAATATTTCCCAGGAAAATGTTTATTCCACCAAGGACAAATGAATCCTTGCATTACTGTAACTGGAGAAAACCTAATTATATCTTAAGAATAGAAAAAAAAATTATAAAGTATAAATGTATTCACGTTAACATTGCTTAAAAAATAAAAAATTTACTAATTCAAAGCCTATGTTTTTTATACACAGCGAGATCAACTATAAAATTAAGTAAATAATCAACTTCCTAAGGCATTGAAAAACTGTACTGTAAAAACAAAAATTGTACTGTTCAGAACAGCCAAAGCATTGGAGTGAAATATTCACGAATCAGCAATACTTTTCTCACGCTGCAAAGAGAAAAAAAAAAAAAAAAAAAAAAACCTCCAAGAAAACCTTTCGCCACCTTCGGAGACCAAGGACTCTATTCCTAGGGAACAAGTGGTCGGAAGACCTGGGCGGGGCAGAGGAGCAGCGGCCAATCAGAGCTCGCCTTACGCGCCGGGCCAAGGTGGCAGGCGATGAGAGGGCCCCACTGAGTGGCTGGCGGGCGCACGCCGCCCCCGAAGGCAGCCGCACCTGGAGGCTCGGCCCAGCCCCGAGCTCGCGGCACCCCCTCCACCGCCCCCGGAGGCCGCTCCCTGCCAAAACAAACCCCGCCGCCTCCAAAGCAAAACAAACCCTGGTCGGGGACAGGCCCGCGGTCCCGGCCGCACGCCCAGCGCTCCGGTCGCGGGGAGCCGGGGCGAGGGCAGGGGCGGCGCAGAGGACGCGGGCGGAAACGTCCGGTGCTCACCAATTCCTCGTAGCTCCTGTTGTGCTCGTTGCCCTCCCAGTCCAACCTCTTCGGCAACAGCTGGAAAGACACGAAACGCGCCCGCGTGACCACCGCTCCGGCGCGGGGCCGCGGGGGCGCGGGCGGGGCCCTCCCGGGGCCGGGGGCGGGACGCGCGGGGACCGCGGCACCAACCTGGTACTGCTCCAGCTCCTGCACCAGCACCTGCGGCAGAGACGCACCGTCAGTGGCGGGCCCGGAGCGCCGCCACCCCCCGCCCCCCGCGGCCGCCGGCGCTCACCTGGGCGGCTCTGCGGCACGGGCCGGCCGATAGGTACCGAGCGATGAGGAAGTACAGTTCTGCGGAGGGAAGACGGGAGTCGGTCAGGGCGGCGCGGGGCGCGGGGCCCGGGGGGCGCGGCGCCGCGTCTTACCCGACTCGATGAGCGGCACCGGACGTCGGGCAGGCGCGGGCTCCGCCATGGCCGGGCGCGGAGCGGGGAGCGAGCGGGCGAGCGAAGCGTGTAGGCCGCGCCGAGGCCTCACCGCGCCGGCGTCCCCTCTCCTCAGGCGCGCGCCGCCGCCGCCATGCCGTGCGCGCCGCCAGCGCCCGACGCCTCCGCGGGGGAGGAAGTAGCCCCGCCGCGGGGACGAAAAGTAGTCCCTCCGGAGGCTCAGCGACGCGAGCCTCGGGCCCGCGCCGAGGGAGCGCGCCCGCCTCTTGTGGCTTCCTGCGGCTGGGGGGCGCGGGCGGGGGCGGCAGGCAGGGGCCTGGACCGGGCCGGGCGGGGCGCGCGCGTGGTTCCGGATCCCTGCGCGGTGAGGCGGCGCCGGCCTTTGTGCGGCGGCAGCGGCGGCTGCGGCGGCGGCCCGGCTGCTGGAGGGCGGGAGCCGGGGGCGGAGGTCGGGCTGCGGGCCGACGGGCGTGGGCGGGGCGAGGGACGGGCGGGGCTGCGCGGCAGACGCTGCCGCCCACTCTGCTGGTCGTCGCTCGGAAGGGACGAGTCACGGGCGGTCACCCGAGGCCAGCGTGTCTGCCCCCCGCCAGAGAGCCATCGCTCGAAGGACGCGAAGCTTTGCCCGACCGGGGTCCCCGGACGCTGTCCCTCTTGGCCGCAGCGCGTGGCAAACAGCTCCCAGTCTGCGTCACCACGAGCGGCGCTGCAGAAGGAAGAATCAATAAGACCCAGCCGCAGTCCCCCGCCTGCTGTCCCGCGGGGAGGTTAATACGATGCAGCGCGCCGCGGAGGGTGTCCGCGTGGGGAGGCGGCCGGGCGGCGATGACTTAGCCGGATTCTCCAAGGACGGCTGGACGGGGGAAGGGCAGTGCAAGCAGCAGCCCGTTCCGAGGAGGAGGATCAGGAAACGGGTTGGAGGGTCATTTGTATCCTCTTGGAAGACACTGATAGGATTTGAGGTCGGAGAGGTGGACAAGGGCCCGGAAAGCCCTTAATTGTGCTGGGCTTTTGACCTACGTGGATTCGTGCCTTTAGCACGTTCAGTGTGCCCTTTTAGTCATAAGTACAGCAGGAGTGTCAGTTACCATTGTCTTTCCTGCTCCGGGAGAGAACCCGCACAGTATGTGGTTCGGATCAGACTCTGGACTCACCTGGACTGCTCCCTGGTTCCACCAGCTTTTAGGTGTGTGCCTTGAGCAAGACGCTGAATCTTTGGGTCTCAATTTTCCTCAACTGTAAACAGTAGCTAGTATTTTTGTTTACATCATAGGCCTATGAGCATAGGCCTGTGAGTTGATAGAGTTTCTAGCACATAGTAGGCACCATATTGGAGCTAACAACCCCATGCTGGGGATTGAACTCGGGCATAAGCTGCCATTGAGTTATTTCTCCATCCCTTTTTTATTTTGAGACTGGTTCTCACTAAATTGCCCAGACAAGCCTGGAACGTTGATCCTCCTGCCTCAGCCTACTGAGTAACTGGAATTCCAGGCCAGTGCAGCCATGCCCAGCTGACTTGTGTTATTAAGTAGCTGGAGTTCTTTTCTAACAATCCAAACATGTTCAGGGTGGTGCTCAATTAATGCAACAAACACAATCAAATCATGGGTTAAAAAGAAGAAAGACCACGTTTTGCCATTACAAAGATTTTTTAGCATGTTAGAGAAAATGTGAGCAAATAACGACAAGGTTTGGGGCAAAGGTAGAAGGGACATGTTCTTGCCTGAGCTAGAGGAAATGGGAAAGTTTGGGTCATCCAAACTACAATTTGTGGGAAAGGATTATAGGCATATGAACAACAAGAGGACAAAACAAATAGCATTTTAGTTGTCCCAGTGGCCCACGCCTGTAATCCCAGAGGCTGAAGCAGGGGAATTGTAAGTTCAAAGTCAGCCTCAGCAATTTAGTGAGACCTTAGTCTCTAAAATTTAAAAAAAAAAAAAAAAAAAAAAAAGGTGAGAATGTGGCCAGAAGCATCTGAGTAGTGGTTATAAGGATAGGAAAAGATGGCAGTATTGAGGTGGAATGAAAAGAAGAGTCCTGGGCTTAGGGGTGCAGCTCAGTGGCAGCACACTTGTCTAGCATGCAAGAGGCCCTGGGTTCAGTCCCCTGTAGTGGGGGCATAATCRCAAAAATCTAGAGTTTAGGGTTTGGTGGGTTAAAGTTGTGCCACCAACTGCAATGGGGCATTCAAGCTGTAGCTAAATTGTTAAGAAGTATAACTTCTTGGAAGAACTTGATTATATGAAATTACAACTGTCCCTGTGGGACAGTGTGGTCTAATGCAACCTCCAAGAAAAAAGATACAGGAGTTTATATCCCAAATGCCTGTCATTGTCTGGAGTATAATTCTGGAGTGGGCAGCATTATGTTAATGTGAGATCAGAAATGATGGCATGAATCTTTGCAAGAGCCCTGGTAGGCCTTTTACAGCTTAGTCTGACACCTATCACAAATGCTCATCCAGGATTACCCTCAAAGAGGCATAACCTCCCCATTCAACTCCCAAGTGTCAGAGACTCAGATARGACTCATATACGCCTACCAAGAAGAAGAAAGGGGAACACATTGTCCACCAGCAACTAGGTAATGGGTGCCTGCCAGAAGTGCCCTCCAAATAAGGCTGGACTCAGGTATGTATCTCTCATACATTTGAGTAGCAGCTGTCCTAAATGTGCATGCTAAAGTTTGCTTTTGAGAAAGTGGAAATAACCTGAAATTACATAGAGAACTAAATTATCAAAAAATTGGTTGGTAGGGACTGGAGATATAGTTCAGTTGGTACAGTACTTGCCTCTCATGCACAAGGCCGTGGGTTCAATCCCCAGCACCTCAAAAAAAGAAGAAAACCGGTTAATAAACAAGGGTCAGAAAATCTTAACTGGTGATGTTAAGCTATAATATGGTCATCCCTCTCCACTCAAGGGTTACATCTTCAAGGAAAAAAATACTGTGATTAAGCTTTTGGCCAGCAATTCCTAAATAAACTTGAAAGTAGCTCTTGGTTATCTACAGTGCTCACTTCAGTAGAAGCCCAGTGAGACTGAGAAAGGCCTGAGGGCACGTAGCTAGTAAACAGCCCCCAGCTGAAGTCTGGGTGTGACAGCCCTGCCTTAGAACACAAGCACCACAAAAGTCTTTCTCCCCTTGCTGTGTCACAAAGGAGGGAAACCAGACCTGGAAAGTAGGAGATTGACACAAGGTTGCACAGCCAGTACCTGGGAGAGAGAGCTGGAATTTGAAAATCCATGTGATAAGTACGCACATGAGCTCATGTATCACAAACAACTCTTAGTTCTGGTTCTTCTCATTTTAAGGATGAAGAAATTTGAGGTTTAGAAAGTTTTTAGAATTTGCCTAAGAATGGAAAACTTAGCAACAACAACAAAAAAACAGGCCTTCCTATTAGCACATAAGAGGACCCAAAGTTGAAGTGTGAAAAGCTTATGTGGAAAATTATGCACAAACCAGTCTGGCTCCAAGGATGGTTAGAAATGAGGACTTAGGCAAAAATGTGGATTAGGGCAATTGTGAAAGACTGAAGAATGGGGTAAGTAAGGCCAGGCAAAGTGGCACAAGCCTGTAATCTCTGGAAGCTGAGGCAGGATCACAAGGTCAGGGCCAACCTGGGCAATTTAGCAAGAGATACCATGTCTCTAAAAAGAGTAGGGTGTAGCTCAGTGGTAGAGCACTTGCCCAGCATGTGTGAGGGCCTGGGATCCAATGCCAGCACTGCAGAAAGGCAGAGATGAGCAAATCCACAAGCAGTGCAGACCTCACAAAGAAATTAGGCTGGGATGTAGCTCAGTGGCAAAGCATCTGCCTTGCATTCACAAAGCCCTGGGTTCAACCCCCAGTTCCAAAAAAGACCAAAAAAAAAAAAAAAAAAAGAACCCCACCAAAGTCTAATGATGTGCTGATGTGGCCTTATGTTAGCTAAATTCAGGTTTATTCAGGAGGCACTGATGATTCTGCATCACATCAGCAGAGCTTCTAGAGACGTGAAGTAGATGTGATGCTGAGCCTACCTATGGAGCCCTTGTAGCACAAACAGGAGTCCGCACATGGGGAGAAACGGAGTGCACAGAAAACTCCGACCATTTCTTTCATTCAACAGAACTGAAGGCCTGCTCTGAGTTCCCCTGGGATAAGTCCCCTAGTTAACTTCCTGACAGGTTTACAGAAAACTGAGAAGTTGACCATGAGGCATCTGATCTCTGGCCTGGCCCCTTTGTCACTTGCAGATCTTGTCTCTAATTCCTGAGGCCCCTTTCCACCCGCTGTGGGTGTCATCTTTCCCTCAGGATCTTTTCTCCCCTTTAAGTCTGTCCCAGCCAGCTGTCCCATTACTGACTTGTCYCTGCCTCCCTCAGCAAATTGTTTCCACATTTATCTGCTCCCTCTCCAAATTCTGCCTCTCCCTGTCACTGGCGTCTGTCCCTGTTTGTTCCTGGCTTGCAGGCAACGGCCCATATCTGTCTCCAAGTCTTACCAGTTCTCACTTTGAAATTCTTCTCACAACACCAGGAGCACAGTGCGGTTGGAGACCATCTGGGGAATGTGGGGGCTGGGTCCAGAACGTCTGCGCTCAGATGACAGAGTTCAGCAACCTCCGTGGCCCAGGAATAATCTTTAAAGTGAGGAGAACACTGACAGATAACATTTGTGGAATGTTTTTATGTCAGGGACACTGCTAAGCCATCTGTGGTGCTCATGAGATGGCTAGAATACACAGGTTGTGAGCATTTCCAGAGGGTGCCTGTGAAGCTCTTTGATGCCTAACTCTCAACATGAAGCATTTATATGAAAATAATTTTTCCCATGCATTTCCACTTAGTTTAGGCCCTCAAGCCTCAAAGCCAGTCCTGTCACTACTTTATGTGTGTGTGTTTACTGAAGATTAAGCCCAGAGCACTTTACCACTGAGCCACATCCCCCCAGTCTTTTTACATTTTTGATATAGCATCTCTAAGTTGCTCAGGGCCTTACTAAATTGCTGAGACTGGTCTCGAACTTGTGATCCTCTGCTTCAGCCTTCCAAACTACTGGGACTACAGGCATGCACCACCATGCCCAGCTCTTTGAAAATCTTAATGCCGTCTCCATTTTACACATGCAAGCCATCAGTAATACTTCCCATGAGGCWACCTTCAAAATGTGTCTAAGGGGCTAGGGTGAAGCTGTAACTCATGGTAGAGCCCTTGCCTAGCAAGTGCAAGATCCTGAGTTCCATCCCCAACACTGCAAAGAAAAAAAGAGTGTGTGTGTCTGTGTCTAACTGCTTCTCACCACCCTGAGTACAACCTCCTACAGACCA